GTGTTCAGAAGGAGCTCCAGAGCTGCTGGCCAGGAATGACTGCATTTCACTCCCTTCTGCCTAATTCCTGGAGGTCACGGGTGCCTTGTTCCCAGCAGTGACTGCCAGGTGTGGGTGAGGAACAAGGAACGCTATGTTCCACACTTACACATTCATATATTCACCTTCTCACTCCCCATTTTGCCCCTGAGGGCACCTATTTCCATGGGGATGTTGACCCAGGATACTTCCATCCCCAGAGCATTTGGACACCTGAGGGAACTCACAGCAAACAAGCAAAAAAAGGGGTCTGGAAAGTTTAAGTTACATTTAACAAAGTCACTTGCCTTGTCACTGAATGGTATAAGTGATTTAAGCCTGGGGAGCCTGTGGTGCCTGGACAGAGACAATCCAGGCTGTCTGGCTGGGCACACCAGGCAGTTAGTCCCAGGCAGCTGAGCCCCTGGTGTAAAGCAAGTGGGGTAAATCAGGAGGTGCCATTGTGCCATGGGCAACACAAGCTTCTTTTCTTCAGGAGCCTGCCAGCATGTCAGTTCTCAGCATGATGGAGAGATTAAGAGGGTTAAGTAGGGGTTGGTGCAATGAAATACAGCCCTGTGACATTTGGACTTTGTGCCATGCAGAGGACAACAGAGAGGTTCATAACTTCCCTATGGCTGGGACGGGGTGTGTGCCCAGGCAATGGGAAGTGTGTGGGGTGGGAATAATTGTGATCAACACAACAGGGAAGAGTGGCAGCACAGACTGGCTGCAGCAGCACAGAAAGAAAGCCTGATAGTGAAATGTGACTGGACAGAGCATCATTTGGGGCCATCCCACGGTGCAGCAGGAGTCCTGCCTCAATCTTTCCCCAGCCTGGTGGCCCAGAGCTGAGCTTTTAATCCACAGGCTCTTCAAAGGCACATTTAAGCCACAGACCGCTCTGCTGTGCTGGGGAAAACCAGGATGGGTAATGATTCTGCCACTCTGGCAAGGTGACAACAGGGAAAAAGGGAGGGAGCTATTTACTCAAGCGCATGCCAAGGTGTAGAAAGCCCCTGTGGACACGAAGTCCAACTAAACCTCTTTCACTTCTGGTCAGTA